GAGAGAGAGAGAGAGAGAGAGAGAGATGGCTGCTTTAAGAGATCAGTGTGCGGCTGTGAAATTTTGTTTCATGCTAGGGAAAAATCGTTGCCAAGTACAGGATTCAAACCTAATTTATCAAATAATTTTAAGTTTTCTCCTAGGAGTAAGTTAAAAGATCTAGACAACACAAACATTTAATACAGGTTTTGACTAGTTTTCTTTTAAATAAACACCGATAAAACAACCCCAAAGCTCTTGATTCTCTCTAACTCAATGGTAATAAACATATTATTATGCTGAATTGTCAAAGAACTCTTTGAAAGAGTTATTTATGTACTATTTCAGACATATAATAGGAGACCCACCAGCTGCTCCATAGGAGAACGATGTGGCAATCTGTTTCAGTAAAGTCTGTAATATTTATAGCCTTGGAAACCCCATAAGGCAGTTCTACTCTATCCTATAAAATCACAATGAGTTGCAAACAGTGTGATGGCAATAGTTATGTGTGTGTATACACACATACATATACATACATATTCACAGAATCATGGAAATTTGGAAATATAAGGTTACATAGTGATAGTTCAATTGTGTGCATATATTTAACAAAGTGTATGAATCCCACTGTAGCTAAGAAACTGTGCCAAGACTCTAGGCTAGTACCATAGGCTCCTGGCAGCTGGTCCAACACTTCTTTCAATGCCATACATTGCTCTCTCTACTGCATAGCCAAACCTAATTTTGATGCCAAACTTTTATTGAAAGCCTTAGTCATGATCATAAATCAGCATCCAGAAAACAAACAAACAATAAATCCGGTCCAGTAGAGTGCATTTCAGCTCAAAGTGACCCCAGGTGTGTTAGAGTAGAATGGCTCCAGAGGGTCTTCCAAAGCTGAGACGTTTAGGAAATAGGATGCCAGGCTTGTTTTCTGAGCCATCTCTGGGTGAATTTTAGCACCAACTTTTCAGTTAGTAACTGAGAGTTTAATAGTCTGTGCCTCCCAGACTATTTAAGTGTTCTTAAAACAACACTTTCCCATCACCATTGAGTGAATTCCAAATCACAGGGAAACTAAAGACAGAGTAGAACTACCCCATAGGTTTGAGGACTGTAAATCTGGGATATTGGGCAGGGGCTGACGTCCTGGGGGCCTGAGCTTGGAACACCATAATGTAGGCAATGCTCCTTGAAAAACTGAGCTAGTAAATCAGTAAATTCAGTTATCCCAGAAACAGCAATCCCAATCCTAATTATAAATGGAAAGCTCTATGTGGATGATCCCATCTAAATTGTCATTGCAAGGGGCTTTCGAATAATCAGAATTCTGAAATGATGTCATTGTTAATACCTGGCCAGGACAAGAAATTTCAGGGAAGAAAAATGGCAGAACTTTTCGTTCAGGCACTCTGTGGGGGTACAGGCAGCCTCCCCTGAGAGCAGGGAGGGGATCATTAAAGGCAATCCGTTTAGTTGCAACTCTCTCCCAAGCATGTAATTTCAATTTCAGTACAGAGTTGGGTATCAAATATTTCATGATATGTTTGCCAATACTATTCTCTTTGATTATGAGAAACCAGAGTCCTGGACTTGGAGTAAGAAAAGTCGGGTTAAAAGAAAATAAGAAAAGGAGGGTTTGGGGGGAGCACGAAAACGGATCGTGATTGCACAACTCATTTTAAAGGCGATTTAACCATGGTGGGGAGGATGCTCTAAGATAGATGTCATGTTGATTGTATGATTCCCCTTGATATGATTGAATTATTCAATTGTGTGATATGCAAATTGCATGTCAATATAACTGTTGGAAAAAATCAGGGTTTTGCTTCTGGATCTATATATACATCTGTGGAACTTTTAGGCAAGTGTTACACCTGTCAAGTGTAAATTGAGCAGTTAATGGAAATGAGAAGATAGCGATAAAAACATGTTATAACACGTTAGAGTTGACACAGAAATGCAAGCTCATTGTTATTCTTGTTTTCATCATATAGCAACAAACAAATAAAAAGTATACAATATAACAATAACAACAAAAACGTAATCCTATCCTTTTCTCATAAATGTGTTTATTCCAGCATTCCAGATTTATAGCAACATATAAGCCAGATTTAAGGTTTATCCTTCATAAATTATTGCTTCTTTTACTAAAACAATGCATTCATAGACCTGGAAACACATTCATCTAAAGCGTTGACAAAGACTTGGACAATCACGTATTCAGAAGGGGTCCTGAGGTACGCGAGTGTTCAGAATGGTAGTAAATCTAGTGTGTAATGGAGAAAGGCAGACCTGGAGCCAAAGGTGAGAAAAACGTAGATCCTGGTTCAGCACATACATCGAAAGCACAGCAAATGACTAACAATATGAGAAGCTTTTCCTTCTCCTCTCTTTTGAAAACCAGCCAGTATTCTTGTTGTATACCATGGAGTTTCTTTGTTTATATAATCCTGAGCTCATAGTTCAGTGTAAGCATATGGGAAGGCTTGGTTGCTGACAAAAATAGAAAAATCCCCATATACACACAAGCAAGTATTTTTTCTCTAGAACTTCCCCCTCTGGCTCTCAATGTCATAGTTTCATATATTACACCTTGAGCCCTCATCCGTATTTACTTTCTTCCTCAATGTCCTCTCTGCATTTAGATCACAGAATTAAACAGTTTCTGGATTCTCCCCTCTAATCCTAGGGTCTACCAAGGCCTAGGATACATTTCTTTTTTTTTTTAGCCAGTATGTAACTGTGCCTTTCTCAACCATACTAGAGCAGTATTGTCCTTTACCTATAAACCTCATGAAACAAGGAGACTGATATTTTTTAATGATGGCATGGATAAAATGTTGTATCTTTTCATGG